TATACAAATAATATTTGAGGTTTCATCTTTACATTAAAATAAAAATTACTCAATAAATTTACATAAAATTAGGATTCAGACCAAATATTAATGTATTATTGTAACCAACAAGACAAATTTAGTCATGTCTCTGGACAAGCTTATGATGTCAGAATGATCCCATATCAAAATGTAGCTTTTAAAGTCAGGAACCTGAAAATGTAATTAGGTCTTTTTGACCAAATTTGACTTAATCCTCACTTCTATATGATGGGTCACATATTTAAAGACATTAATGTCTTTTTTTATTTCCTGAATCGTGCCTCGTTTTCTACAAACCAAAATTGATTGACAATATAAAGAAACACACAACCCTTATTTAGAGTCGAGCGTGTTGAGGTCTGTAGAGTCAGTGAGGTGAAGTTTCTGGGAGTCATCACTGATGAAAACCTGACATGGAGACCTCACATAGATTACTTAAGAGCAAAAATAGCTAAATCTATTGCAGTACTGTATAAAGTAAATGAGTTATTTAATGATAAAGCTCTATATTATATAATGCAATAATTTTCCACATTTGATTTATTGTGTTGAAGTCTGGGGGAAAGCGTGTAAAACAATTACAAATCCTATTTTATTTGACAGAAAAGAGCTGTAAGAATTATCACCATAAACATTACTAACACCCATCTAATATATGATTTCATCGATTCAAATTGAAGTTTTATGAGTTGGTTGATTATAATATTCTGCAGGTTATGTTTAAGGCACATAAAAATGTGTTACCTTTAAACATTCAATCAAATTTTGTTAAGAGGGAAAGTTGCTATAATCTGAAGGGACTAGAAATGTTTGTAAAACCAAAAATTCGAACAAATTCGAAGGACAGATGCGCTTCAGTCGAAGGAGTAAGATTATGGAATAATCTGGAAACTAATCATAAAAATGCTGGTTTGATTAATTTGTTTTAAAAAATGATAAAAGTTAAATTGTTAAAGAAATATGAAATTGTTTAATCTGTATTTGTAAGACTTACTGTTAGAGGAGTTGAATTTTTTTTAATTATTGGTTGAAATTGTTTTTTGAAAATATGGGCAGATATACGATTTTTTTTCTTCTTCTGCTTCTTTTAATTTTATTTTTGTTTTGTTGTATGTAGACGTGTTTTTTAATGAAATGAATACATTATTTAGAAAAAAATATCTTGTGCCCTCTTTGGTTTAGTTTGAAGCCTATCGAGACCACTGTAACTTTGTGTTTTGTTGTCCTGTCCTTTCACCAGACACTCACCTGGGCACAGCGGCCGAGTTCAGCACAGGTGAGATACTGGAATATCTTCAGGGCTAACTCGTAGGGCAACTCGATGTCGAAGAAGGGAATGTCGTTGACTTCATTCTGCAAGACAAAACGAGTTACAGCACAAACAGTACTGTTTCTGTTTAACCATCACCTGCCATCCTACCAGATCCTGAATGAGTTGATCCACCAGCTCCTCCTCCTCCTCCTCCTTCTTCACCTTCCTCTGACGCTGCCTCTGCTGCTGCAGGGATGCGCTGCAAGCATCGGTCACGTTCTGATACATCCTCTTCCTCCTGGTTCTCTCCTCCTGGATGCGGTCCAGCAGGGGACTGGTCCTCCCACCCAGCAGGCTGCGTGCGATGGACACATACTCGGGCTGGTCCTCTGTCTCCGCATCAGCTCTCCCTCCATCACACCCCTCACCTTCCTCTGGTTTTAAAAGCTCCTTTGTTTTCTTCACGTCTCTCCGGCTTGACTGATCAGGAAGACCCCGGGAGGAGGGAGGAGCAGATTCTGCTTTACTCTTTAACTCCCGTTTCCAACGTTCCCTGAACGCAACAAGATCATTATCCGCCATGGCATTGTCCACTAAGAGTATTTTTGCAATGTTGTAAACACGAAAATATAAGTGGAATTCAAAAGTAACTAAAACAAACGGGGAGGACTGTTTTGACAACACACACAACAAACCCGTCCTTCCACATAAACAGTCCGATGAGAAACAGCGACGCACTCTACTAGTTCCGCTAGTTTTTAATTCCTATGTCATAACAGACGCTTACGTCTCAGTAATATTTAGTGTCTTTTTGTTAGTTAAAAACGATGAAACTGATCAATATAAATACAAGTTTTTCATATGATGTGATCGAAAATGTGCGCGTGAGTGTATCCGAACAAACTGTCCTTTTCTCTTAAACAAAAGAATGACACCAAACAGGAGAGATTCAAGACTTAACCATTTCCTCCCTGTTAGGGAGAAGATGATGTAAACCTTTTTTTTTTAAACCATGTGACACAGTAATGAATACTACAGTGGAGAGAGGTGGGGAGTCTGGGGAGCCGGGAGGAGGAGGAGGAGGAGGAGGGTCGTACGTCCTTAAAAAACAGACTTAAACGGGGAGAACCGAGCGCTCCACTCTCCGTCAAAAGATGTGCTGGCTGCCGATAGACCAGCCTCTGCTGCGGCCAGGTGACTCCAGCTGCAGCGCGCGCCGCCGACCCTCCGCGTGCTCCGCAGCCCAGCTGCTCGCCTCGCGCCTGCGGAGCATCGGGGACCAGCTGGAGAAGAGCTGGACGGTCCGGGAGACGAAGGTCGCGGACAGAGGACGGGGACAGGCGGTGGTGGCCACCCGGAGCGGCCGTCGCCTGAAGGGCTTCCTGTGCCTGGCGGTGCACCTGACGCTGCTCGTGCTGCTCGGCGACACCTGTAGGGCGCGAGACTGTCTGACCAGCAACAGGTGAGTCAACTCAGCTGGCAGGGTTTAGCTTTACTTTGGAGTACGTTTGACCTCATTTTTTTGATTATAGCTACTTTTAATTACCAGAATATCAATTTAGGATGTGATGAAATTAAAGATGGACTGAAAATAACCAGAAGTGTGCAGGCAGGGTATGATATGCAATTATTAATATGTAGGCTTAACATGTTTAGCATTTTTATAACATTACAGAGTGACATTTTTTTATGTTTTAATGTTTTTTCCAATTCAACACTAAGCCCAACACATAAATCCATTTGTCTTAGCATGCAGGAGTTTAATTACTTACTTATCTTTATGCAGCTCTTTTGGATCAGATATACATTTTTTGAGTTATTTAATATACAGTAACATTTCTATAGAACTCCTTGAGATGTAATCACCAAATAATTACATGAACTTAGATCCTTTTAATGTTGATCTCAAGACAAAACAAAGAAATGGTTCAATAGAAATAAAATGTAAACAAATCACTTCTTGGGTGGGACTTTCACTGACCAAAATTTATTTGTACGTGTTGACTTATTTAAACATTTTTAATTCTTAAAAAATGGAAAAAAAAGAGTTAATAATCCAACAT